TTCAAAGTGTAAGGTTTATGTTCTGAAATTTTATGTTTACAAGTGGTATCAGAGCCAACATATCATGTGTCTTATCAGAATTGATATGTTTTATTCATTCTATTTAGTTTCCTGGAATCAGATTCTGAATTTTCTTATGGATGTAAATTCTGTTTTTTTCTTGTTTTGTTCTGTGAAAATGGCAATCTGTTTTCTGGAATTGTAAAATGATTCGGTGGACAGTTTTTTTTTTTTTTTTGGAAAGCTCAACAAAATTGTGCAAAGACGATTTTACCCTCAACAATTTGTGAAATTCCACAACACCATAAGGGTAACTTGGCAAATTCACATCAAAAAGCAAAACTTTGAAAAGAACTTCAAAACTTTTTGCATAACAAACGCATCAGCGTTTTTAGATTCTAAAAAAGCAAAAATCAACTAAAAAAGCAGTAGTCGAACTCCACCTCAATCAACATCTCACTGAGATAAAATGTTGGACGGAGCACCAACACTTTCTAAGGAAAGATGTGGAGGGAAACTTAAACAAGTTGCCAAGCAAAACTCTAACACAAATAAAAAGACAAAAGACTGCAGTGTTTACCTGCTTGAGGAGCCTCTTTTGATACCGGTAGCCCTAATGACATAAATCAAATAATAACATTATTATGATACAATATAATCAGTTAGGTCAAACCAAAAAACTTCAAATAATAATTAAAACTAATTGTATAACGACCTTATCAGTTTCATAGATGTAATCACAGTAGGTGAACACGGATGCAAAGTTGCTCTGGCTTTGTCCTCCAACATAATGATGGTAATCATGGTATTCTGCACCACCATAAAATGGAATATATTTTATGGGATTCCAAGGGAGGTCATACCTGCGGGTTTACTTATTGGTTTTAATTTCTATTTATTGGTTTTCAAAAATGAAAGGTTGTGGAAGTTCAAAAGGAATGAAAACCAACTTTAACCATTGTTGGTTTTGATTTCTATTTACTGGTTTTCAAAGCTGAAAGGTTGTGGAAGTTCAAAAGGAATGAAAACCAACTTTAACCATTATGTTTTAATTTCTATTTCTGCCCCTCATAGAAATAGAAATTATACAACTAGTATCTACACATTAGGTCCAAAACACATATACCCTTAAGCCTATTAACTAAATTGAATCACTTAAATTGTAGGCTTCTTATAAATGATAACACCACATTTAATTATGTGGTCCCATTGAGACATTATCTAACAGTTATACCAAACTCAATATCACAATTCCGTAATATTGGAGACCCACACTTTTAAATTCACAAATTCATTCACAATGATATGATAAGAGAGTTGAGTCCTACATCATCAGTTATATAATAAATCACAAGTTGACACATATCATATACCACATCATTACGGACATAGTTGTGTGAAATTTTTTGAGACTCTCAAACATTTTTCTTCCTATTTATATTTTTTAATATTGAGAAATGTTGACGATATAAATGATAAACTTTGTCATTCTCTTTAACAGTTAATTAATCTTTTAGTTGAACTAGTATTGTGATAAAGAACATACCATACAGACAATACAGAAGTTTCAAGCTGTGGATTTGGTAAAAGCCCAGAAAGCAAGATAAGTAGCTCGAATGACCACGATTCAAGACTGCATTCATCACCATTTAGGAAAGGAAAAACCTCATAACTCTGTTTAACAAATTCACAAAAACAAATAACTTAAATAATTGAAAAAAATAAATAAAATAAAATTACCAAATCATAACAGCGGAGGGAATGGCAAAACTGAAGAACTCGCCAACTCCCCATAACACTTCCATGGAAATTGGGACCCGAGTTTTTTCACAAGAAGAAGAGTACTTCATGTACAATATGAGGAAGATCACGTTCAACCAAATCGAAATATCAATTGCTAATGCACCTCCAAGGTTATCCAATCCCGACTTAAACACTAGAACCCAACAAAGAGGTATGTGGAAAGCAAGAGTGGCACATGAGCTTATAAGCATGGGAAGTGTCAAACTTTGCATTTGGAAGTATCGAACAAGCGGTTGAAGAATCGCATAAGCAAATAGGGCGGGAACAAGCCAAGTTATGAATTTACCGGCTTCATGTGAAATTAAAGGGTCTTGGCCTATGAAAATGAGTATTTTTCCCATAAAAATCCATAATATGGAGAGAGGAAGACAAAATATGACTAGGGAGAAAATAGCAGTGTAAGTTTGAGTTCCCAGTTTTTGGTATTGTTGAGCTCCATATGCCTGCCCACATAGAGTTTCCAAAGCACAAGCCATCCCTAACTGTAAGACAAATTGAAAATCTAGTTGATTAGTTACAATATCAATTCAAGATTAAGGCTTTATTTGGCATGTGCTAAAATAGCAAATTATCCTATTTAGATCACAATCATTTTATTTGAGTTATATCAACTCTCTACCACATCACTTCAAACTCAACCCATATTTTATGTTTTTTTTATAAAAAAATAAAAAAGTAGACTAATCTAGCACATTCCAAACAATCCCAAAATCTCTATTAGGTTACTCAATTTGAATCATTTGTTTCTTTTCTTGTCATATCCATATAAATATGTTGTATATGTTTGTATATTTTTGTGGTCATTCTAAGGACTAGTCTAGAGGTCTAAGTATTCAATAGTTGCGGATGAGATAGTTGTTTACCTGGTGTAATATTTAAGTTTGAATCTCGCTGTTGCACGAAGCAACAATTTTTCCTTACTCTATTTTTCTCATACCAATTGTAAAAATAAAAAATGGACTAATAACCATCCAAAGAAATCTTCAGTCATGTAAAATGAAGTTGGCCTATGACATTTTCAATAAAGAATAAGGAGTTCATAAACATCTTATATGAACATCACAGCCAGGGTCAGCAATCACTAACAACGTTTTCCTAGCTTTTACTATGGCCACAAATTATTGTATGTGTGAAAATATCGACAATTACGTTTGTGATGTATGTCAAGTAATTTTAAATTGACTAAAAAACAGAAAATATTTCAAAAATTATGTACAACCGATGTAAGATAAGTATTTTGAGGTTTTGTTTGTTTGTCAAAATGGGAGTAGGAGAGGTAATAACGTGGAATTCACTTGTTTTCTTGTATGGTATATTATATTTGATTATTATATTATGTTTAGTTAGAAGAAAATAAAAAATGGGAACAAATTTAAAATTTTATTTTTGATAGTTGTATGAAGTGTGAGAGATACCACTTGATGGCCAAAAAGCATATATATATATATATATATATCTTTCATATTCAAGTCTCTATTCCTGTCAAACAAAATATATTTAAAAAAAAAAGCTTTACAATAGTCTTCGCTTAAAAAAGGGCAAATTACATTTAAATGGAAACTAAGTAAAAGAATTACAAAATAATAGAAACCTTTTCAAAATTATAATAAAGTTGAGAAGTTAAAAAAAAAAATTACATACACATAAAATCAGAAATTTGAAAGATCAATTTGCTCCTTTCGTCTTTTTGTTGGTGTTTCAACTTTAAAAAACTTGCCACCAAATTGTAATTAAAATCCTCAATTCCCACTTATTTATTGGCTTTGTTTGGGGAGTTGCTATTTTAATAGGCTATTTTAATTTTTGACTATTTTAGTAGGTTAAAATTTTTGTGTTTGGAAAGATGATTGGATTTTTTTATGGTTGGATGCGATGTTTGTGAGAGAAAAAGTGAAATGATTATGGGTTTGATGCGATATTTTGTCTTATTAGCTATTTTAGTCTATTTTGTCTTTTTGTGAATTTTAGACTAAATTAGGCTATTTTTTTTTCTTCCCAAACACCCCTGAACAATTCTAGCTGAAAACTGCACCCTTTTCTTTGTATAGTATTTCATTTTGTGAAGTAAGGCATACTTGGTTCACTGGACCAAAATGTCCTCATCCATGGACAGGTGTCAGTTAGAAGAGGCCACTGTGGATGCTGCCTATTCATTTAAAAAATTACAGAAATTTTAAATTGAAAAGTAGAGAAAATAATTGCAAAATATAGACATCAAGTATGTGCTCTGGTACAAATGAAAATTATAATTATACTCACTTGTACCAAAACAGAGACCTTATTTACATCTTTATATTTTTGTAATTACTTTCACTTCCTAAAGTCTTATTTGAGAATCTCTAATAACTAGCTTTTTATTTAAAAAAGTCAAAAGTAAAAAATTTAGGGAGAATTTCAAAAAAGTGGTGTGTAGACAAAATCATTTTAAAATAATAGAAGTATAAGTAGTTCATACATAAATTTATGCCAAAAAAAAAAAATTATACTATCATCATTTTAAAATTATTTTTTTCTACCCTATACCGTTTAGAACTTAAAGATAGTTTTTTTTTTTTTTTTTTTTTTTTTTGGGTTGAAAATGTTAACAATATTGTTTGAAGACAATTTACCATATGCACTTTGATAACCTTTGATGATGTAATGTGACTTCCAAAATGAAAATACTATAAAGATAATAGGGCAAATTACACCAACAGTCCCTATAGTTTGAGACTCGTATCATTTTGATCATTGACTTTTCAATTGTGACACATTTGATTCTGAATTTTGAATCTTGTTTCAAAAAAGAACAATTGAAGATATCATTGCTTAATTTCAAGGGCAAAATTATCAATTTGATAAAATATAAACTAATTTGACCAAAATAAATGTCAAAAAAATATTTTTAAATTTTTAAAAATTATTTCTACCTACCAAAACTAAAATTATGTAAAATTGATAAAAATTACATAATTAATTTTAAAAAATTAATTTTACATGATCATCATTAAAACACATAATAAAAATTAATTTGGTAATGAATAAATAAATATCTAAAAGATTTATCATTTTTATATAATTTTATCTTTAGTAGGTAGAAATAATTTTCAAAAATTTAAAAATAATTTTTTGATATTTATTTTTGTCAAATTAATTTATATTTTATCAAATTGACGGTTTTGCCCTTGAAAAATTCAATGGTATCTTCAATTGTCCTTGTTTGGAACAAGATTTAAAATTCAGGGGCAAATATGTCACAATCGAAAAGTTAGGGATCAAAGTAACACAAACCCTAAACTATTGGGACCGTTGGTGTAATTCACCCAAGATAATATGATAATTTTTCTAAAAAAAAAAAAATACTCACAAAACTTTCTTCATAACAAAAAATAATTAATTAATTAATTTTTAACAATTAGTAAAGGCAAATTTGGTAACCATTTCGTTTTCAGTTTATATTATAAAATTTTTAAAAACTATCATAAATACTTGTTTGATAATTTTTTTTTTATTTTATAAATGGTTGTCACTGTTTGTAAATTTTGAGTTTACGCTGGTTTTTAGATAGAAATTTAAAATTTTGACTAAAAAAGTTTTTTTTTTCAATTAATTTTTTTAATTAATTTTTTTTCCAAATAATTTTTTTTTTCAAATAATTTTTTTCCAATTAATTTTTTTTTTCAATTATAATCTGTATGATCCCATTGTCATAAATAATAAAAAATAAATATAAATATTTTAGGCCTGAAAAACATAATTTTTTAGTTTATGTTTTTAAATTTTTCAAACATTTTGTTCCAAATAAACGCGTTTATAGTTTATGTTTTTCTAAAAATAAATAAAAATCAATTTATAAAATTTTTGTAAACATAAATTAAAAACATAAATGTTAGCAAATGCTATATAAATGTATTAACTTTTAAAATGAAAAAAATAAAATATTATTAAAAACATAATCCTCAAACCCCACCTTATTGACAAGCTTAAAAACATTTGGGTGCAATGTATGTTTGGCTCTCTCATTTTTAAAAAAAGGGCACACTACATGACAAATGACTGAAAGAGTGACAATGTTTGGTGAAAATGTGCCCAATTGCTTCGACAATAGTTTTAAAAAGTGTATTTCCTTGGCTTCCTGGATTCTGAATGATAAATTTGTTTATTTTAATGTCATTAATCAAGATTTTTAACTTCTTCATTATAATTATTATGGGGTAGAAATCTGTCTAGCTTCAATTCCATGGAGACTCTTAACTAATCTTGTAAAGTGTGTTTTAAGAGATATTTTCAGTCAAGGATGGACAAAATTATGTATGGATAGTCCGCATATAAAAGAGTAATGTTAGGGATTCTAAATGTTTTATCAATATCTTTACTAAAAGTTTCACAAGAATGTAAGATGTGAGATATTTGGTAGAAATATTGACAAAATATATGAAGTCCCTAACATTTTTCAAAGGGAAACAGTAAGTAAATTTGTAATAAAATTAATACAATTCAAATTACAAAAGGAAAAGGAACAAAAAAACAAATTTATAATAAAATTAATACAATTAGAATTACAAAAACTAAAATGGTAGATAATACAAACTATGGATGTAATTTATAGGATAACATAGTGATGACATAATTTTAACCAGTTTGGGGAGGCTCCTGCGCATTGCGCAGTCAATGGGGGTCTTTTTCGGATCTCATTTCGACGATCTAAACCGTTCAATTTTTAAAAGATATCAAGTAGAATATGCAGCCAAAAATTCAAATTAATTGGATTTCGGTATCTCTTTCATCAAAAAATGTTTGTATTCATATTTATACTTAAAATTAAATTTACCATTCAATTTTGTAGATACAAATATGTCTAGATGAAAAGGATACCGATCTTCGATTAACTTAAATTTTTACAAGTATATTCTACTCAATGTCTTTTAAAAAGTGAACAGTTCAAATCGTCAGAATAAAAGTAAAAAAAGACTTCATTAACCATGCAACAGTGGTTGTTGCGCATGGTGCACAACAGTCTTTCCAATCCCAATTTTAACACTAAAATAACTTACCACATTTATCTATATATATATATATATATATATATTGTGTGTGTGTGAAAATTACCCCCCCCCCAAAAAAAAAAAAAAAAAAAAAAAAAAAATGTTCACTGTGTTCATCTTGGATGTGTGGTGGATTAGATACATGTAAGATGGATGGTACAATACCTTTCACTTACACATCCATATTTCTCAAAGGATAAATTACACTTTACATTCCTGAAAATTTGAATTTAATGCATATTATCTTTTGATATTTAAAAAATTATACTAACTCTAATGTCATTGTAATTATTTAAACAGAATAAAAATATTGAACTCATGTACTCTCTCTCTCTTTTCTTACTTTATTTTACTTTACTTGCTCTAATTTTTTTCCTTTCCTTTTCTTTGTTTTACTCTTTTTTTTTTATATAATTTTTTCTGTTTTTCTATTAAAAGTTGTTGCCTTTTATATAAGT